TCCTCTTCCATCCGCCCCCGCTTGGGAGATGACGGATTCCCTAGCCCTTCATTTCTCATCCTTCCTCCTCCCCCCCTCCCTCCCCCTCTCCCCATTTCTTCTCCACTTCCTCAATGCTCCTCCGACTCCCCTCCATCTTCTCCTCTTGGGGTACGACGTCTTACCCAACTCTTTATTCCACTGCGTGCTCCTCCACATCCCTGATCAGGAACTCCATTAGGCATAGTTTCTGGATGGGCTGGTGGGCTTGCGCGAAGCGTCTAGACTTGCTTGAACGCGGAGATCCCCGCGTGTGCATTATTGTTCTTGTTATTATGCATCTGTTGCCTTTTGAACGGAAGCGACTCTCGGCCAGAGTCAAACTGAGTGTTGGTACGGCGATGGCGTTGACTTGGGATGAGTGTTAGTAAGAGGTGTCTGAATTCGAATTGTCTGATTACGGATAGTCATGTAGGAGCGGGTCCGACAGCGAAAGACACACTTTTGTGCCCGCGCATGTGATTTGTATGCGTCAAGGGAACTTGCAACGAATCAGTAATGACGTCCGCGGTGTCGGACGTGCGAAATATCGTCCGCACTTGGCATGGGCTCGGCGCGGACACCAACTGTTATTGCATACGGACTCCAACCAAAACGTCCGCACTTCTTCGGATCGTTCGGAGCTGGTCGCTGGTGGTCTCTGCTTTCTGGTCGGGGGGAGTAGTGGAGGGATTAAAAAAGAGGTAAGGATTGAGGAAGAGGGAGGACCAAGTCAATTGGGCCATGTGGGTTGGAGCGCGGGGGCTCTTGACCACCTGGGCTGTCAGAAGCCGGACCCGCCACTGGCTGGGTTCTGGGCCAGAGCTCTCTTGGATGTCGTTGGGGTCTCTTGCGGAGGCTCTGGGGAGTCTCTCGGAACCAATTCTGGAGCCCTTTGGGGCCTCCTGGGGGCCAGCTGCAGGACTCGTGGTGTCCCTGGTGGGCCTCTCGGAGGCTTCTTGGGGGGCTTCTTGGGGGCTTCTCGAGACCTTCTGGCGGTCTCCTGTGGGCCTCTTGGGGCTCTCTTGGGGCAGAGGGCGGGCGGTTTCAGAGGGCCTCCTGGGGTCCTCTTGGGGCCCTCGTGGTGCACTTGAACAATCTGGTCGAGCTCCATCTCTTGGGGCCCTCTTGGGCCGACTTGAGCGCCGTCTTGGGGCTCTCCTGGGGGCCTCTCGGGCCGTCTTCGACGCTGTAAGATCGGCAATGCGAATGGTATATGTGTCTGTGGAAAATGCATGTGTGTAGATAAGTGTGTGTATATCGATGACATATGTATGCATGTATGTATATATATATATATATATATATATATACATATATATATATATATCAATATATATATAGAGAGAGAGAGAGAGAGAGAGAGAGAGAGAGAGAGAGAGAGAGAGAGAGAGAGAAAGAGAAATTATCCTGGCAAAGCAACCTAACAGCGAAACGTATAAGCATATCTGAAAGCATTCCCCTTAAGATTCAGATGAAAATCCAGTTGTAGAATTCTGCTGTTCTCGCAGTCGTAGTCGCATTCGCGATGACAGTCGCAGCGGCAACGGCAGTCGCAGTCACAGCCTCAGCCTCAGCCTGCCTCAGCCTCAGCCTCAGCCTGCCTCAGCCTCAGCCTGCCTCAGCCTCAGCCTCAGCCTGCTTCAGCGTCAGCCTCAGTCTGCCTTCAGCCTCGGCCTCAGCCTCAGCCTGCCTCAGCCTCAGCCTGCATCAGCCTCAGCCTCAGCCTCAGCCTCAGCCTGCCTCAGCCTCAGCCTCAGCCTGCCTCAGCCTCAGCCTCAGCCTGCTTCAGCCTCAGCCTCAGTCTGCCTTCAGCCTCGGCCTCAGCCTCAGCCTGCCTCAGCCTCAGCCTGCCTCGGCCGCAGCATCAGCCTGCCTCAGCATTCAAAATGTGGCCCAGGAATGGAGTTCTGGGAACTAGAAGAACACGAAGTGGCCTACAGTTGGCTCCGGGCATTCAAAATCATGCCCAGGAATGGAGTTCTGGGAACTTGAAGAGCACGAAGTGGCCTACAGTTGGCTCCGGGCATCCAAAATGTTGCCCGGGAATGGAGTTCTGGGAAATCGAAGAGGAGCACGAAGTGGCCTATAGTTGGCTCCGGGCATCCAAAATGTGGCCCGGGAATGGAGCTCTGGGAACTCGAAGAGCACGAAATGGCCTACAGTTGGCTCCGGGCACTCAAAATGTAGCCCGGGAGTGGAGTTCCGGGAAGTCGAAGAGCACGAAGTGTGTGACTGTTGACGAAAAACGAGCCCGGCTCTGTTCCCGGTTCTCCAGAATGTGGCCCGGGAATGGAGTTCTGGGAGGTCGAAGAGCACGAAGTGTGTGACTGTTGGCGAAAAGCGAGCCCGGCTCTGTTCCCGGTTCTCCAGAATGTGGCCCGGGAATGGAGTTCTGGGAGGTCGAAGAGCACGAAGTGTGTGACTGTTGGCGAAAAACGATTCCGGTTCTCCTCCCCGGCACCCGCCCAGACCCCCCTGAGGAGTCATGATGCTCTCTTTTGAGCCTACTAGAAACCTATCAGCAAACGCTGTTAGGTAAAAACTTATCCCGGCAAAGCAACCTAACAGCGATATGTAGAAGCATATCTGAAAGCATTCCCCTTAAGATTCAAATGAAAATCCAGTTGTAGAATTCTGCTGTTCTCGCAGTCGTAGTCGCATTCGCGATGACAGTCGCAGCGGCAACGGCAGTCGCACAGCCTCAGCCTGCCTCAGCCTCAGCCTCAGCCTGCCTCAGCCTCAGCCTCAGCCAGCCTCAGCCTCAGCCTCAGCCTCAGCCTCAGCCTGCCTCAGCCTCAGCCTGCATCAGCCTCAGCCTCAGCCTCAGCCTGCCTCAGCATCAGCCTGCTTCAGCCTCAGCCTCAGCCTGCCTCAGCCTCAGCCTCAGTCTGCTTCAACCTCAGCCTCAGTCTGCCTTCAGCCTCGGCCTCAGCCTCAGCCTGCCTCAGCCTCAGCCTGCCTCAGCCTCAGCATCAGCCTGCCTCAGCATTCAAAATGTGGCCCAGGAATGGAGTTCTGGGAACTAGAAGAACACGAAGTGGCCTACAGTTGGCTCCGGGCATTCAAAATCATGCCCAGGAATGGAGTTCTGGGAACTTGAAGAGCACGAAGTGGCCTACAGTTGGCTCCGGGCATCCAAAATGTGGCCCGGGAATGGAGTTCTGGGAAATCGAAGAGCACGAAGTGGCCTACAGTTGGCTCCGGGCATCCAAAATGTGGCCCGGGAATGGAGTTCTGGGAACTCGAAGAGCACGAAGTGGCCTACAGTTGGCTCCGGGCACTCAAAATGTAGCCCGGGAATGGAGTTCTGGGAGGTCGAAGAGCACGAAGTGTGTGACTGTTGACGAAAAACGAGCCCGGCTCTGTTCCCGGTTCTCCAGAATGTGGCCCGGGAATGGAGTTCTGGGAGGTCGAAGAGCACGAAGTGTGTGACTGTTGGCGAAAAGCGAGCCCGGCTCTGTTCCCGGTTCTCCAGAATGTGGCCCGGGAATGGAGTTCTGGGAGGTCGAAGAGCACGAAGTGTGTGACTGTTGGCGAAAAACGATTCCCGGTTCTCCTCCCCGGCACCCGCCCAGACCCCCCTGAGGAGTCATGATGCTCTCTTTTGAGCCTACTAGAAACCTATCAGCAAACGCTGTTAGGTAAATTATCCCGGCAAAGCAACCTAACAGCGATGTGTAGAAGCATATCTGAAAGCATTCCCCTTAAGATTCAGATGAAAATCCAGTTGTAGAATTCTGCTGTTCTCGCAGTCGTAGTCGCATTCGCGATGACAGTCGCAGCGGCAACGGCAGTCGCAGTCACAGCCTCAGCCTCAGCCTGCCTCAGCCTCAGCCTCAGCCTGCCTCAGCCTCAGCCTCAGCCTCAGCTTCAGCCTCAGCCTCAGTCTGCCTTCAGCCTCGGCCTCAGCCTCAGCCTGCCTCAGCCTCAGCCTGCATCAGCCTCAGCCTCAGCCTCAGCCTGCCTCAGCATCAGCCTGCCTCAGCCTCAGCCTCAGCCTGCCTCAGCCTCAGCCTCAGTCTGCTTCAGCCTCAGCCTCAGTCTGCCTTCAGCCTCGGCCTCAGCCTCAGCCTGCCTCAGCCTCAGCCTGCCTCGCCTCAGCATCAGCCTGCCTCAGCATTCAAAATGTGGCCCAGGAATGGAGTTCTGGGAACTAGAAGAACACGAAGTGGCCTACAGTTGGCTCCGGGCATTCAAAATCATGCCCAGGAATGGAGTTCTGGGAACTCGAAGACACGAAGTGGCCTACAGTTGGCTCCGGGCATCCAAAATGTGGCCCGGGAATGGAGTTCTGGGAAATCGAAGAACACGAAGTGGCCTACAGTTGGCTCCGGGCATCCAAAATGTGGCCCGGGAATGGAGTTCTGGGAACTCGAAGAGCACGAAGTGGCCTACAGTTGGCTCCGGGCATTGAAAATGTGGCCCGGGAATGGAGTTCCGGGAGGTCGAAGAGCACGAAGTGTGTGACTGTTGGCGAAAAACAAGCCCGGCTCTGTTCCCGGTTCTCCAGAATGTAGCCCGGGAATGGAGTTCCGGGAAGTCGAAGAGCACGGAGTGTGTGATTGTTGGCGAAAAGCGAGCCCGGCTCTGTTCCCGGTTCTCCAGAATGTGGCCCAGGAGTGGAGTTCTGGGAGGTCGAAGAGCACGAAGTGTGTGACTGTTGGCGAAAAACGATTTCCGGTTCTCCTCCCCGGCACCCGCCCAGACCCCCCTGAGGAGTCATGATGCTCTCTTTTGACACCACTAGAAACCTATCAGCAAAAGCTGTTAGGTAACAAAGGAAGAGAGAACGAGAGAGAGAGAGAGAGAGAGAGAGAGATGGGGAGAGAGAGAAAGAGAGAGAGAGAGAGAGAGAGAGACAGAGAGAGAGAGAGAGAGAGGGAGAGAGAGAGAGAGAGAGAAAAGAGAGAGAGAGAGAGAGAGAGAAAGAAAAGAGAGAAAGAGAGAGAGAGAGAGACAAGAAGAGAACACAGAAGGGCAAGGGAGGAGGAGCCGCCCACGGCACCGTGCTTGCACTTGTGCGGCCCGCAGCCGACGTAGCCCTGGCGCGCGCCGTCGAAGCAGAGCCGCAGGCCACAGAACTCCTTCGCCTGGGGATGCCTCCTTTTCCGGCGCAAGGCCTGCCCGGCGCGCGCCTCCAGACGAGCATCCGGCACCAGCAGCGCACATGCAGCCGGCAGGCAGGCACGCGCAGGCTGCCGCGCAGGGAGGGCAGGTCGAGCGATCACGCAGCCCAGACACCCGAGGGAGCAGGCAGTATGCCTGGCCATCGCTCGGACGTCCATTCCCTGTGTTTTTTTCGGTTTCGTGCGTGTTTTTTTCGCCAAATGATCAAGGATGCCCCGCGATGGTCCTCCCCGAAGGAAACATGCACACGTCCGAGCGATGCCAAGATGCAGGCGCAGAGGTAGGCGACTGGGGACTCGCTCGGGCGGGCGGTCATTCACTCGCACATCGGCCACGCACGGTATCAAGCAGTGGTGCACGCATGCAGGCACGGACTCGACACGTGTGTGCGACACATGCCGCCAGGGATCGCGAGCGCACTTGAGAATGCATGCGCGTGGGTACACAGCGTGTACATACCAGCGCAGATGTAACCAATCCTGTAAGAGTGCCAGCAATCATACTACGAAGCTAGCAAGTATGCACGCGTGCGAGCTCGCAATCAAACAGGCAAGAACAAAGAGCAGACTTGCAAGTCTGCAGCCATGACTGCGATTAAGCGAAGAGTGCATGCAAGCAGCGCCAGCAGGCAAACACAGTCAGGGAACCCTGCGTTTCATCAAGCCAAGCGAACTTGGTAGCGCTGTCATGCTTGCAATTTGTGGACGGTTGCGGGCACGAAAGGCTGCAAACACATAATTGACCGAGCATGCAAGCGATGCTGCAGCACGCGAGCACGCGCGAAACCAGCAGAGCGTGGAACGCATTGCAACACCAGCAACGATCACATGGCGCACTGTAGCCCATGAGTGCATCGCCCATCGACATTGCGGTGGTCCCTGCCGCCGCCGCCGTCCTCTTCAACGCCGCCGTAGGCGCCGTCACAGCCGCAGCCCTTGGGGGGCGGGCGTCCTCGGTGATGTGCCTCGCCGCCTCTGGCAGACCCTCGTTCCTCTCGACCCTCAGCCTCCCGCGCGCCCCGCAGCCCGAGCGGATGCGCTCAGGGGAATCGGCCTCTCTCTCACCCTCCGTCCTCATCTCTTTTCCCAGCCATCCTGTGGTGCTCGGTCATCGTTTTGAAGAGACAGCGCCAAGCGTTCCTCTTCCTCTCCTCTCCTGCTCTTCTCCTGCTCCTCCCCTCCCCCTCCCTCCGCCGCAGCTCGCATGCGTCACTCCGCTCAGTACAGCGCTTCGTGGCCCCGAGGGAACTCCACCGAAGGTCCCAGAGGCGCAGTTCGCATGCGTCTCCCCCGCCCAGTACAGCGTTTCATGGCTCCAGAGGGGGGCTCCACCGAAGGTCCCAGTTGCGCAGTTCGCATGCGTCACCCCACCCAGTACGGCGCTTCGTGGCCCCAGAGGGAGCTCCACCGAATGTGTCAATGGTGCAGTTCGCATGTGTCTCCCCCCCACCCAGTACGGCGCTTCGTGGCCCCAGACGGAGCTCCACCGAAGGTCCCAGTACAATTCGCATGCGACCCCACCTCCCAGTACGTCGCTTCTTGGCCCCAGAGGGAGCTCCACCGATGGTCAACACTGGAACAATTCGCATGCGTCTCCTCACCCAGTACGTCGTTTCGTGGCCCCAGAGGGAGCTCCGCCGAAGGTCCCAAGTGGCGCAGTGCGCTTGCGTCTCCCCCACCCAACACGGCGTTTCGTGGCCCCAGAGGGAGCTCCACCGAGGGTCCCCGGTTGCGCAGTTCGCATGCGTCTCCCCAACCCAGTACAGCGCTTCGTGGCCCCAGAGGGACCTCCACCGAAGGCCCCAGGTGGGGCAGTTCGCATGCGTCCCCCCCGCCCAATACGGCGTTTCGTGACCCTGGAGGGAGCCCCACGGAAGGCGTACCCACAGCTGCGGTACTCACAACTGCATGTGCTTGGGTGCTTCGACAGGCGAATGTCCTTCCCGCCCCTGCCCCTCCCCCCTCCTCTCCCTCGGTCCTCTCTGTTCCCTAGGCCACCCCCCTTCGTCCTCCTGCTCCTCCTCGCCGTCGTTTTTCTCCTCCTCCTCCTCCTCCTCCTCCTCCTCCCTCTCGTCCTCCTCCTCCTCCTCCTCCTCCACCTCCTCCTCCTCCTCTCGCCCATGCTCCTCCTCCCTCCTCCTGCTGCTGCTCCTCCTCCTCCTCCTCCTCCTCCTCCCCCCTTCCGTTTCTTTATCGATATCTCCTCCCTGTCGCACCCCGTGGCCGGTCGAACGAGCGGGCCAACCGTTCCGTCTGAAACTTCTTCACCATTTATGAGCCTGAAGCTTAACAGCTGACGACAAATTCGCACATGGAAGGAAGGCGGGCCGCTTCTAAACTGTGGCTCTCGCCGTAGCGCCAAGAACATTCGGTTACACACATTGCACGGTTCTCACGCGTTGAAGGCCGGTGGTTTGCAACATGTTGTTATCGCCTTAACGCCGCGGACACTCGTTTCAAATATGCGAAACAGTTTCACGGATTGAGGGCAGGTCGTTTTCAAAATGTGGCCCTCCTCGCGTTAGCACCGCGCAGATTCGTTGTGCCAGGATCAAAGTTTTCACGGATCGAAAGCGGATGTTTTGCAACATGTGGGTCTCGCCTGAACGCCGCGGACAATTGCTGTAAACATTTGAAAAGGTTTCACGGATTCCCATGTCAAAACGTGCCAACAATGTTTTTTGGGAAGGGCTCAGGATTGTCGGGTCGGGGGAAAGGGGGGGATAGCAAAGGGGGGGGGGTTGAGAATCAGCTCACGTAGCTGATTTTCCCGGCGCCTCCCGGCGCCCATGTATCGAGGAATGGGCCCCTCGGCGAGGCCGAAACCATCTGCATGCAGCAAATCTCGTACCCCCCCTTTCCCAATCCCCCCCTTTCGTCCGGCCCGAGATTGTGAGGGTGCTTCAATTTTGCTGATTCGCTGTGTTGAAGTCCCAAACATGGTGTTCTGGCACGACTCCAGATCGTCAGTACGCAACAATCATTTTGATTCGTGGCGTTGGAAATATCGAAAATGGTGTTTTGGCACGCTTCTGGGTCTTCAAACGGTTGTCTCCCAACGGGGCAGTTCACCCGGTGGAAATGACCCCTCGTAGGGGACTGTGAAGAAGGAACTTGGAAGGTTTGTTCCAACATCGTTGATGAGTCTTGGTTTTGCACTTGTCCTCCTCCTCCTTCTCCTCCTCCTCCTCGTCCTCCTCCTCCTCCTCCTCCTCCCCCTGCTTCCTCCTCCCCTTGCCTCCTCCTCCCCCTGTCTGCGACCTCCCTGCTCCTTCTCCTACCTGCTGCCGCCGCTCCTCGCTTCCGTGTAAGTCGGGTGCCTCAAAAAGACTCTCTGCGCGCCGCCACAGCGGAGACAGATCATCGCCTCTTGGGGGCGATGCTGCCGCTTTCATCTCCCCCTCCTCCTCCTCCTCCTCCTCCTCGTCCTCCTCCTCCTCCTCCTCCTCCCTCCTCGTCCCTGGCCCTCTCTTGTTCCTGCTCCCAGCCGGCGTCCGTGAGGCGAGTCACCAACTGGCCATCGCTCGGACGTCCATTTCCGGTGTTTTTTTAGATTTCGTGCGTGGTTTCTTCGCAGGATGATCCAGGATGGTCCTTCATAATCCCCGCCGAGAAAAAGTGCACACGTCCGAGCGATACCAAGCCAATCCCCTCCCCCTCCTCCTCCTCCGCTCCTTCCGTGCCTGATTTCCCCCCCGAGCCAGATCCGTCCCCGAGGACCTCCCCGCGGGGGCTCGACGCGGCCCTCCAGACGGCGGCAGCCAGGCCCCTCCCCTGCAAGCGTCCAGCGGCAATCCCCTTCCTCCTCCCTCCTCCTCCTCCTCCTCCTCCTCCTCCTCCTCCTCCTCCTTCTCTTAAACCTCTTTCTCCTCTTCCCTCTCTTCCCTCCTCGTCGTCCTCCTTCTCGACCCCCTCTTTTACGCTCCTTCTCCTCTCCTTCTCCCTCGCCCTGCCTCCCCTTCCTGCTCCTCTTGCTCTCCAGCCTTATGACTTCCTCCCTGTTCCTTCCCTCCCCCTCCTCCTCCTCCTCCTCTCGCCCCTGCCCCTCCTCCTCCTCCTCCTCCTCTCGCCCCTGCTCCTACCCCTCCTCCTGCCCCCTGCCTCTCCTCCCGCCCCCTGCCATGTGATGCAAGCTTACGATGGGGCCCGCCGCCCCGGATTTCACTGAGCTATGCACATGGCTCGCTCGGCAGCCTGCGCAAGCTGTGCTCTCCCAGCCTGGCTTTAGGCCGGGCCTGTCCCCCTACAGGTGGATTTTTCGACGAAGTACTCCAAACATATTCCAAAATGGTCAAAAAATCATTTTTAAAATCGTCCCTGGACTATTTCTTGACTATTTCTGAATATTCCCCCTGTAGAGGGACAGGCCCGACTTAAGCCTGGCTGGCTGTGGATTCGCAATTCTCCAGGTCGGAGTGCAGTCACCGTGCTTCGACGGCGCGCAAACGCGGATTGGCGATCCATGGATCTGACGCGCGGTCGCCAAATCCATGGATCGGGGAGGCACCCTCCCCAAAATACGGCCGGTGCCGCTCCGTTCGGCGGCAGAAGTCCGCGATTTACCATGGAGACGGGACCCGTCGCCAATCCGCGCCCCCTCAATCCAGGCTTGCGATCGCCTGACAAGAGGCCCCCAGCACGGCCCAAGAGGCCCCCGGGATTCCCCCAAAGGCACCCCAGACAGTCCCCAAGAAGGGTCCGAAGCGGGGAACATGATGAACAGGACATGCTTGGCCTGCCGCCCAAAGACGGCCCCCAGAGCACCCCAGAGGCCCCCAAGAGACCCCCAGAGGCTCCACGTTTGCAATCGCCCGAGCGCTGCCAGGAGGGCCGCCGGGCAGGGCACGGATGGGGCTCTCTCCGGAGCGGTTCCCCGAGGCAGACGCGAGGAGCGGCCCGAAAGCGAGAGCCCCTCCTGGGCCCAAAGTGGTCAACAATTTCAGCGCCTGGGCCGTACGGTTAGGTCGGGCATGTCCCCCTACATAAGGAGGAAGGATAAATATCTATGCGCATACACCGATTCTGGCCAGGTCCCTCCTGAGCCCAGGATCGGTGCATACGCCCTCTGACCTGGGCCAGGAAGGTATATGCACCGATCCTGGGTCAAGGATGGGCGTTGTCAGGATCGGTGTATGTGCATAGTTCTCTTCGCTCGACTACAGGCGGCTTTTGGAAACATGCTCAAACAATGTTTCAAGCATGCTAACAAGAAACAAATCGTGCTCAGACTATTTTTTTGACGATCTTTGAGGATTCCTCCTGTAGAGGGGCAGGCCCGACGTAACCGTACGGGCCAAAGCGCGGGCCGCCTGTGCTCTCCCCCTGGCAAGATCCAAGCGCCCTGCCCGGCGGCGGGCGAGGGGGGGAAGTGAGCAGGGGAAGGCTCCCTCCGAAGACGGCGGGACTTCTCAGAAGCCCTCGCGACCTCTGAGCAGCTTTTTGCGCCTTCGGGGGAGGCTCGGACAACTCCTCGGAAGGCCCGGGGACTTCCGAGCCTTCTGAGAGGGCCTTCTCCTTCTCACTCGCCCTCCCCCACTGGCGGCGATCTGCTCCGGCAGGGGCACGGGAGTGCAGCAATCTGGCCAAAGTTCGCGTGCGGCGTACCGCCAACACCGCCGCAGGCGTCCCCCGGGGTCGGGGGGGGGGCCGGATGAGTACACGCGTCAAGCGCCTTGGCATCGGGGTTGTATTGTTCGGCACAGGGAAGGCATCCGCTGAGATTGCGCGCGCTCGGCGTGGGTTGCCAGAGGGCGTCGCTTGCAGCTGTCGAAGATGTGGTATTCACCCCGCTGACATCTTTATTGTTACCGCAGGCGCGGACCAAACGTATCAGCAATGGCAAGGCTCACTGGGTAGTCCTAGCGTGGCTTCTCCTGATGCCCGGAATCACCTGCCGATCCTTTCGCGTGCCGTTCTGGTGAAGCGAGGCCGGCGTGTTGTGAACAAAACTACTATTGGATGCGAGTTGCCAAGGTCATTCATCACCGTACCTGTCGAGAACGTCGCG